CCTTCAAAGAAATTCAATTTTTGTCTAAAAAAAATTGAAAATGAGATGATTGTCCGAGGTCTGAACTTTAAAGTAAACGACATGAATTTTCATTTGAAAACTTGTTTTTTTTGCCAAAAGTTTTGATAATTTCAGTTATAGTCTACTTGAAAAATTTACTGCTTTTTACTTTTTGATGATGGAACTTAGAATTCTTCGTGAGCCTTCATTCTATATATCTTATGTTTCTTTTTGTTTGAAAGTGCATGTCAAGATGCAGGGCATGATAAAATTCTTTTTTTTTTTAATTAAATTTCGTTGCAATTAGATCACAGAGTATTTTAATAATTAGAGCTTCTTTTTTTTAGACATCGAACTTTTTTCTATTTAAAAAATGTATGAACGTAAAAAAATGGTCCTGTAATCTGATATCCTCTTTCAAAGAAAAAGAAATAAATTAAGATGTCCGGAATTTATATTTTTAACAAATCTTTGTCTTCAATATATTTAGTGTTCGTGGATAGAGCATATCAAGTTATGAAAACTAATTTTCCAATTTTTGGATATAAACCTTTCGTCAAAATATTGGGAAAAGACTTAACTCAAAGTATCATGATTTGAGCTGTTTGTTCATTACCACAGAGATTTAAATACTTTTTTTCACTCTGTAGAACGTTATAATGGTTATTTCCTGATTCTGCAGAAAATATTGACCGGCAAATCCTTATGCACATAAAGTTTCTTTGGTCGAATTTATCTGCAGCATCAAAGAATAACTCTCATAATGTTCTTGGAAGTGAACAAACAATAAATGTTTTACATATTTGTAATAGCGGACAACTCTAACTATGATATTTTAAATTCAATTTTTTTCCAATATTGTCAGGAAAAGTAGCATTTCCTAGATATTACAGAATGAAGGCCTACAGACAATTTTAGATTGTCAAATGAGCTGTCTTTCATCTTTGTTTACTGCATATCTTTCGAGAAAGTCATGGCACAGAGCTAAAAATTCTCTGCGATTTGAACATATTTGGCCTAAGATCGATTTTTGAAGGGGCGGTGAACATATGCAATTTTATTAAAAGTAAACTTCATCTGTTTAGAAGCCTTACGAATGTGGGAAGCATGTTGGTCACATTATCAAACTGATTATTTTCATTTATTTATTTGTATAAGTATTATGGCAGTATATGGCGATGATATTGTACAACAAAATCTTGGTACAGATGATATGCTTCTTCATTTTAATAGTCTTGCAATGCATATGAGTGGTAAATTGGTACTAAAAAAGGTAGAAGAATTAAACTCTTTTAAAAAAAGGAAAAGAAAACTTCAATTTTTTTAAATAGGCTCGAAGTTTACTTTATAAATTTCGTTTATTACAACGTATTCCTTGTTGTCTTCATGATATATCGGTGCTTGCTGGTCCAGGTTTGTTTAATTCTATTCATTAGATTTTATTTATTATATCTATTTATTATTTAGGAAATTGGGATTCACATCATGTTCCACAAATATATTGTATCTGTAAGACTGTTCACGAAAAAGAACGATGTCCATTTAGTGGTATTTGTATGTGAATATAAATATATATATATATATGTGTGTGTGACAGAATTTGATATTGTATTTTTGTCATCTAGTCATATTTTCTCATATAATTATGAACAAAAAAAAAATTATATTTCTATTAAGTTTTAGTGAATCTCTTTCTTATACTCACATCTTTCTATATTTTAAAATTTAATCCTTATATTTTTGTGTGTTTGTCTTCATCTATAATCTATCTATATTTGTTTAACTTCTTCTCAGGTGTATGTATTTGTATGTTTGAAATTATATTTCGGTGCCTGTCTCATAAGAATTTTTCCATTTTGTTTCTCATTTCCGTTCGATACTTTTTTGTTTGTTTGTTTGTTGTTGTATGGATTCTAAAGAATATCTTTTATTTTTGTTTCTTCGTCGATACTCAATCAGTTGACTTCTTTTTTTTCGATGTGATTTCCGTTGTTGACTGTGAACAAATGCGTTTGAATGTTGTCTACATATGTATGTTTCTTTTTGGAAGATGAAAAGTAAAGAAATATAGATGAGGGGAAGGAAAATGAGAAAGAAAAATTAGTTCAATATTTGCATTCATATAAGAAATTAAGTTTTATCAATGTTATTTTCAAGATAATTCTTTATGTCATTACATAAGACCATTGATTCAATAAAGTACATTCGAATATTGCTGATGTAACTATACATTTTACAATGAAAAAGAAATAAAAGCATTGGTGAGTGATTGTATCAAACAACAAAGAGTTTCATAACGGAATACTTCATATTCATTCATATGAATTTTTTTATATTTCATTTTTTTAAGGTATAGTCTTTCAAGAAAAACTTTTTCGAGTCTCGAATTCTTTCGAATTGTCTAGTTGACAGAACAAAACCTAATGATGTCATTCTATCAGAGTCCTGCGGAACGAAACCGACGAGATTTTTGGAAATACGAGATTGTCATGCAGGACTCTAGTTTTAGCATGTCATGAATATTATAGGAAATATTTCATAAGTTTCGGCTCCATTTTCATTTTGGTGTTTTGACCGTATTTGAAGAATAGCGCATCAGCTATAATCCAAGGAAAATTGTAATTAACTCACATTCACCGAAAGAAAATGCTACATCAATAAAACTATTGAAGAAATTTTATCAAAGTTGTTTTTTTCGATACAACAGAGCGTGGCAGAATTTCATTGATTGCCAGAACAAACTTATTCTCGAAAATGGCTGATAATTAGAGAACCTCAAAAAAATTGAATTTGCAGAACGATAAGTGTTTCTCCAGAACAACTCTGATTTTCTGGTATCAAAACGAATAAACTTCTCATGGATAGTAGATCTAACTGAGTCCTATCTATAATAGAAAATTCAGGATATTTGCTTTTGTCTTCATGGAGATATGATTCATCAAAGAGAAAAATAAATCGGATTCCGTAATGCTCCGTTACGTCAAAAAACTCAACTCAAGTAAAATTTTTCGATATTTTTACTAATGTCATATTTTCTTTGAGTTATTGCAAATTAGTCTTGCATGATAATTTGTGTACTACACTTAAAACATATATATTCAATATTTATCCTCTCTCAAGTACGGCCACGATAGAAAAATAATAAGAATGCCGGCGGAACGTATGAGACACCCTTTATAAACGGTGAAAAGACTGCTATATTAATTATATATTTCATGTGGTGAATAGTTTCTATTATAAAGAGAAGCAAAGAAGAATTCCGCTTACTGTAATGAAACAACCTTGAGTCTGATAGAGAAAAAGCCTTCTGAAGTATACTTCCTCACTAGCCTACACACATTGAGAGACCCACTATTGTTCTGCATATATGAATCATTTTATTAAAACTCATATTTCAATTGTTCAAATTTTCTTATGTAACTTATTCTTTTGATCACTTGTCAAACAAAACTAGATTTTTTAATATTCTAAATAGATAGATAATATTATATACATATTTGTGTGAATAATCAAACTGATGCCATTTCATAATATATGTCATTGACACCATCTGTTGTGCACATCCTAGAGCTGAGAACATATAACATAAACTCCACTGATTCTATTATCATTTCTATAGTAGTAAAAAAAAAATCAATTTTCTTAGTAAATTATCTGTCATTTTTGATAAGTATGATTTTCAAGAAGAAAAAGAAAAGGGGGTAATCAGTTTTATTTCATTTAACGCTTCATTTTGATTTATATCCTACGCAATATGATCCCATTGATTTGAAGAGACGAATTCAGGAAACATTGCATGTCTATTATTGTCAGAAAAATAGGAGAAAACTAAATCCGACGTTCAGTCTTTGCGTGTAACTAACAAGGAGATTGGCATTAAGTAATCTAAGTGTGGGCTGTAATATCTATTCGCAGTAGACAACAAATGTTTGCTAGATGCCATCTTAGTGCATTATTATTTCTTCTACGTATATCTATTACTTTTATTCAGCCAGATAAAAAGACCATCCTTTCCTTTGTTATATCCAATATTTGATCATTCATTTAATGATTTTGATTACCTTTAACACTCACGCACAGCGTCATTATAAGATACGCAGGTTGAAGGATATGCATATTATAGGTAAGTTCAGAGAATAGGTCATATAATACGCTTCTATCAATATTTTATGCAAATTCGATATTATCATTATATGATGAATGAAGATTTTGAAGATACGTGATTGTAATTTTTCTTTTACGTTTTGAACCATTTTTCATCCATGACTAAATGTGTCTCTGTACTACACATGCACGTCTTAAGATGTGTTCATACATTAAAGTTATCTTTCTTTCTATCTATATATCTGTTGAATGGAGATGATATAAAATATGAAACGACGATGCAATAATCGGCTTGCAATTAATTTCCTAGGAAGATTAAAAAAAATTATCTATGAAATAGATTTTCTTTCATATTAATTTTTTTCAAAAATAATGTGTCTACAAAAAAAGCTTCTGATAAAGAACAAGTGTATGTGTCACTGTTCTGCTTCCATTTTTTCTTTCTATTTCTTCCTGAACGAGCAGAAAAAAAAGATTCTCCAATGTCGACATCGTTTACAGAAAGAAGTGCCTCTGTTATATCTCCGTACTTGGCAAGAAATATTTTTTTTTCTAAGCTGCTATGCATAATCAACAGTAATGTAGTTACACGTTTCTTTTTTTTTCTTCTTTATCGTTCTCTTTGTTTTTTAAATAAAAAAGAAAATTTTGATTTTGTAATTGAAAAAGTAAAAAGAGTATAGAGTGAAAGTTTCTCACGACTTATGCATGCATTTTTTTGCCATCATTATATTCTATTTAGGCTAGATGCGCGATCGATTATCACATATAAGGTCACAATACAGCTATCATTAGCATCAATATCGTAATAATTTCAAATCGAAATAAAAAGAAAAAGAACAACCTCGTTCATGTGAATACGCATATTGAATGGTATTTTTCGAGTAAATATTTAAATGGCAAACGAAGTTGAAAAAAAACTCCAAACAGAAGCTGCAGAATCCACTTCAGAAAAAAGAAAATTACGTAAATTAGAAGATGATGAAGAATACGATTATATTGCAGTACCACCCGATGGAGGCTTTGGTTGGATAGTTCTTATAGCTTGTTTCGTAAGTAGTTGTACTAGATTTTTTTTAACAAAGAAAAAAAATTAAGCAAAATTTTACAATGTTCTTTATGTAGCTTATTAATTTAATTATTGATGGTTTTCTCTATGCGTTTGGTGCCATTTCAGACACTTTAAAAAAACATTTTGAATGTCAAGAATGGGCAGTATCACTTGTTATTTCTCTTGCTTGTGGTTTTTATTTACTTAGTGGTAACTATTAGATTTTTTTCTTTAACTTTTAATTCACAATAAGATTTTTTCTATTTTTGTAACGTTTTTATCTAGCACCGGTAGCTTCTGCACTATGTAATAAGTTTGGATGTCGTCCCATTGGCATAATTGGAAGTTTTATTGCTGCACTGGCCGTTGCAGCATCAATCTATTCACCGAATATATATATAATGTGGTTATTATTTGGATTTATTGGCGGTATTGGTATGGGTCTTGTTTATTTACCAAGTATTGTCATGGTTGGTTATTATTTTGAAGAAAAACGTGCTATAGCTACAGGTAAAAAAAAGTTTTCTCTTTTGTTTTTCTCTTTATTTAATGTTAAGAATTTCATTTTTAGGTATTGTTACTGCTGGTACAGGAATTGGTTCGATTACATTTGGACCACTTTCAAGTTTTTTATTCAAATATTTCGGATGGAAAAAAGGTTTATTAATACTAGCTGCTATTGTTGCATTATGTGCTGCTTGTTCTACTTTAATGGTTCCTTTAAAACCTCAAAGAAAACGACGTATATCAGCAACAAATGAAGTGTAAGTTAGATGTATATTGTTGATAAGAACTGTTTAGAAGAGATTGTTATTTCAGACCGTATGGTTGGATAATAGGGGAAGTATCGATCTGTTATTAATGTAATGGTAGAATACTGTTTGTTTATCAATAGCTATGCATGTTTTATCGAGTTGAGAATATCCATTAAGGATTTCTTTGTACGATAACAGCCTTTTCTTTTTTAATTAAAAAAAAATACTAATTACATGAATGAAAGCTCTAGTTACTTTTTTTTTTCTAATGTCAACATCAGATATTTTTAATTAAAAAATAAAAGATTTTTTAATGTTTTTCTTCTTCTTTTTTTAGACGTGACGAAGATGCTCCGGCTACGGTGAATAAATAATTACTTAAAATTTATTTATTGTGTTCTTTTATGTTGATTTCATCATAGACTACATTACCTTTACTCAGTGGCACGAAAAATGCTGAAGCTGTTGGTACATCTGTATCAGGTCATAATCCAAATCCAAATATACATGAGGGAGAAACAGAAGGAATGCTACGAAAACAATCACGAGCGAATTCTACTACTTCAGTTAAATCAAGACAAAGCATTAAAGCTGACGATGCTGTTCGTCCGTAAGTTTATTTCGTCTATATAATTATTTTTTTTTTTGTATAATCTGTTGTTAATAGCTTATATAAAGAAGATATACTTTATCAAGGTGATACAAGAGATTTACCTGAATTTCAATCTCAACCGGACATACCTACTTATATTCAAGAAACAACTAAAATACCAGAAACAACAAAAAAATCACCAATGAAAGCATTTTGGGATGTATTTCTTTCTATGACAAATATCAATGTTTTAAATGACAAAAAAATGATTATCATATGTTTGGTAATGAATTTTTAAAATATATATATATTACGGTCAATGACAGATCTAAAGGAGGAGTGCGATTACATCTCCCCTTTCGGCTTGATTTCATGCTTTTGCCATTGACTCTCCTTGGAAGTTTTGCATTATTATTTCATCCACACTCTTCTTTGACTTATCCGTCTCCCCTCCTCGATCTTCTGCTTACCTGCAGCGCCCTTCAGAAATTTCTGGATTTGCTATTGATCATGATGATTTGTTTTTCTTTTGTTCTATGAAGGCTAATGTCTGTTCAATGATCGGCTATTATACACCTTATTTATTTATTGTTAAAGTAGCAACAGAAGAAAGATCTATTCCTAAATCAAGTGCCGTCTTTCTATTATCAATTATTGGTAAATGGAATTTTTGCTTTTATATTTGTCGAATTCTTAAAGAATTTTTTTTATTTTTATTTTCATAGGTTTTAGTAACACATTTGTTCGATTTACATCTGGTTGGATAACAAAAATTCCATATATGAGTCCATTACTTGTCAATAATATTGGTTTAACTGTGGCTGGTATAGCAACATTACTTGTTCCATTTTGTGGGACACATGGACTTCTTATAGCTTATTGTATTATATGGGGTGGTTTCATTGGTAAGAATTTTTTCTTGAACTAAGATCCTTAGAAATTTTTATTTCTTGTTTTTTTTTAAGCTTTTCATGTTTCTTTAAGTCCAGTAATTGTTTGTCAATTAGTTGGTCTTGAACGTTATAGTAGTGCCTTAGGTTTAACATTGATGTTTCGAGGTATTACATCATTAACTGCTCCACCTGTAAGTTTATTTAACTTTGTTTATTTAATTTTCCTTTTTATTTTTATTTAGGTAATGGGTGCTATTCGAGATGTAACAGCAAGTTTTAATATACCATTTATGATAGGCGGTACTAGTTTTATAACAAGTGCATTAATGCACTTTTGTCTTATGTGGATTAATCGTCAAGAAGAAGTTAACGCAAGAAAAAAGACAAACGAAAACACAACAGAAACAAATCCAGCAACAATAAACGTGTGATTTGATTTAATATTGTCCTTTTGTGATGCCTACTTATTTCTCTATATTATGTTTTCTCTTAATTTTTCCTATCCATGACATAACAAAAAAAATGATGATTTCATTTTCTATTGTACAGCTCTAATATCCGAGCAGTATTTATGATTTTCCGTTTTGATTTTTAGTCTTAGTTTGAATAAATATCTTTAGGTTCAAGGTTTAGTTTTTTTATATTGAAAAAAGAAAGCTTTGTTTTTATTCAAGAAGATTTATTGACTAAGAATAAATATATGATCGAAGAATCATATTTTCATTTGAAAGAATGACAAATAAATGAAATCCTTTGACAATAATAACTAAGTAGATCAATATACTTTTTTTTGTCATTTTTATTAGATTTATAAGAGGAAAAAAGTAGATTTTCAAAGATTTGAATATCATGATTATTTTTTAATTCAAGTATCCATAAAATACGCAATGATAATTTGTGTATTACATTTATGTGCAACTTGGGCTAGTATCACATTGGCTTGTTGCGCGATTGAATGTCTGTCCATCGGGACACATTGCAATAATTGGTGCTAAAATAAAAACAATATCAGCATCAATTAATAATTCTATTTGAGATACTTACTAGCAGATGCTTGAGAACAATAGTAATATCGACCAATAGCACAATAGGCAGTATCAGGAAAAACACCTGCTCGTTGACATGTAAAATAGGCTAATAAAACCAGAAAGAATATTAAATTAGAAATTTAATAATAAAAAAAGATACAAACATCGATCACATCTCGTTCCTGTCCAACCTGGATTACAAAAACAATAAGCATATACAGTTGATCCTAGAGTTTGTTCAACACAAGCTCCAGATTGACAAACTCCAGCAGTACAACGAGTAGGAATACCTAAATAATTCAAATAATTTATTTGGATAAAATAACAATAACTAAATGCGAATAGCTAACCTTGAAGTTCGCAATTTGCACCAGTAAAACCCGATGCACACCAACATACATTTGCACCATTGACTATATTGCATACACCGCCATTAACACATGTTCGATTGCAAACTCCTGGACCTATTATTCCACTAGTACCTATATTCAATAGAACAATATGCATAAAATGTTTTTTTTTAATTATCATTTTTAGATTTCTTACGACAAGGTCCGTTAACAACAGGCTGAGCGCTTGGACATGTACATACAGAATTGCCACTACTAGTTGGAATATCATAGCAACAATAGCCAGTGAATGCATCGAATTGACCAGGTACGAGGTTACATGGATTAGTTGCACAGGTAACTACAAAAACATATCATACGGAATCAAATGAACAATAGCTATTTTATTTTTACCTCCGGCAGCTAGTTGAATATGTTGTTGAAGTAAAACAACAATAATTGCTAAAAGAAGTGTTTGCATGTTCGTCAATACGAAAGTGATATTGGTATCAAAAGTCAACTAAATTAGTATATGCAGGTATCGTATCGAGCTTTTATATGTTAATATCCAAGGTCACTTTGTCAATATTTTTCTATTGTGGTATTAGTCTCCTGTTTCTTATTGTCCCTTGAAATTGATATCTTAATATCGCAATTTTATTTTTTTTTTATTTTTCAAATAATATAACAACAACAAGCAAACTACTAAATCTATGAAGCTTTAATAGGATAGAGATTACTTTTATTCACAACATGTACACAACTTATTTCGAAGGTTATCTATCAAAAAAATGAATTATATGAAAATGGCAATATAATAAAAAATGTTTATAGACTATTCAGTAACCATATCACTTTATCATTAACTCTGAAACATTGTATGTTCCTTCCAAGAAAAATTGCAATAATTGCTATTGTAGACATGATTTAACTTTATATACAAAAACCAGTATAGTACTGCACTAAGATGATCTTATAAATCGTACAGTAAAAACGAAATCTTTCTTACGTGATTCTCAGATGGTATAACAGAGTTTTTAAAATCCATAATTTTTTATAGCTCAGTTTTCATTCTAAACACTTTGTTTACTGATAATTATTTTGTTTATATTTTCGCGAAATTTCACTTACCACAACGTCAAGCTCTCTGATGCAACCGTTCGCTAATCTTGTAAACGATCTACTGGATCATTGTGACAGACGTGTAGAAGCTATCCGCGTGCGCCAACGGCTGTTCGCGTGGCAATTTTTTTTCAAAATCTAATAGCATCTAAGAAAATTCTTTGACAAATATTTTCTCTCATAAGGGAAATTTTTCTATTTATTCATGATACAAACACGCACCATTTGTATTTTCATTTCTTTCTATACTTTTCCCTAATGAGAATGACTAATATATGATCGTCAGTGACTGAATCCAACCATTTTTAGTTGGTTCGATTTGAGTAACCATAGTTACACCAAACCAGAAGCGTACGAGAGGTGGAAACCTGGTTCCCCCGGTTTAGTTAGTTTGAATCGTTTACGAAAAGCCCAAATAACAAGAATACCTGAATCAATCAACATTGAACAGTAGCTTTGTTTTCTGCATAAAAATTTTAAACGAGAAAACTTGTTGGTGAATTGAACTTTACAGCCGAGAAAGTTTCTCACAAAAATTGTGTCGTTCGGAGAAATTTTTAATTTTACCGGCAGAGTCTGTACTCCTGCTTTGGAACCAAGTAATGATTGTTTTACTGAATTTTCGAACTCCTTTTAAGTATTTACTGGCAATTCAAAAATCAGCATTTCTCCATGGAATTTCGTCCATATATAGACCAAATGACCAGTTGTATATCGGGCAAATTTTTGGTGAAAATGTTCTTTACTCGAGATATTGAATTTAAAAAAAATAGTGGTTTGCTACCAATATGTCAACAAAATCCAGTTGACTTGAAAATTTAATATCTCGACAAAGGAACATTCTTTTAAGCTGAAACTTTCACGACAGTCTACTAGTCATTCGATCTATTGATAGATAAAATTTCACTTAGAAATACTGCTTTTTGAATTTTCAGTATAGATATAAAAGTCGGTCGAAAATCCAGTAAAACAACAATCATAACTTGACTTTGAAGATCCATCGACACAAAATACTTTTCGTCTTCTGGTAGTCTTACCATGACATTCTTGTGGACGCAATATGAACTCAGATGACAGACATTAATTCGACTGGGTCCCTTGTAAGCATATTAGAATCCAAATCATGTCTTCGCTCTCACCTACGCAAAGATAACCACATTCACACCCTATTAATGTATTATTCAAACATTCTGTGATTGACATATCTACACTATAATCACGTGATTTTTTTAGCAGTTTCTTTAAGAGCAGATATCATACTATTGGCTAATTGATGATGCACTTGAAGCTTTAAAACAACACGCACGTCATAATAGCAAAGTGCTAACTAAAGTGATAAAATAAAACTATGAGAAATAAACCCATCTGTTAGTTATACATAAAAAGCTGTTTCTTTCCAAATGGAAAAACACATTTACGAATATCACAAGCATGAAACTGATTCTTATTGTTTTACTTATTGCTCAACTCCATGGTGCTTTTAGCACTAGTATTCCTCTTGCACAACAACGTGATCTTATGAGTATTTGGGATCTCATAAGTCCAGTTGTTAGTCCAATTGCTGAACATATTGATACAGCTATTGGTACTATTTCAAATATTCATTCTGCTGTCACAAATGCAGTTTCAAGTGCTATTTATAGTGTAACATCATGGATTGGTGATAAAATTCCACCACTTGGTAAACGTGATTTAGAAAATGACGCTAAATTAAATCTTTTAGCTGAACTTCGATTATTTAAACTTTCTTTTCAACAATCAATTCTTGAAATTCTTCAAAGTTTTCTTAATGGTAATTTAACAACTCAATTTCGAGAATTAATTTCAAAATTAAGTACTTTTCTTAAAACACATCTACAAACTATCAACAATATGATAACTAATTTAATTCCTACAATGCAAGATACAATAGCAACTCAAGCTATAACAAGTGTTTTACATGTTGTACAAGTTATTGAAGAAGTTATTCAAAAAGTTCATGCTGTTTTTTCTTCGTAAAATTTAACTAATTAAAAAAATAACATAATCCTTCAATAAAAATCTTATTCTTGTCTTTATAATATAGACGAGCACGAATAATTAGCAAATCAACATTTTGAAAATATTGTTCGATCATTTGAATTATTAATGTACTTGCTTCCTCGTCACTATCTTTAATTTGTGAAAATATTTTTTTGACAACCACTACATCTTGACATAATGAAATGAATCGTTAAATTTAATTGTTTGCCGAAGATGATTTTGTTGGTGTCGCTTATGATATTCTTGAATAAGAATATAGATACCATCAAAGATCCGATGAATAAGTATTCCACACGTAAATAAACTGCTAAAACAGAGTAAAATTGGAATGCCAATTATGTCTTTGATATTCGAGGAAACATCACAAATCATTGTTGAAGTGAAAGAAATGATAAAATCATTATTGTATCTTACCCAGATATCATATGCTACCTTAAGATACAACCAAATCGTGCAGAAAATAATGAAGGTTATAACAGAAGACATAACAATATTTCTGCACCTTTTAGAGGTTTTCAAACGATGCTGGTAATTTTTAAAAAGAATATTATAATTTCGTAAAGCTGAACAATAGTAAAATAAGTCTATTAATAGTTACATAGAAAAAAGGTCTAGAAAAATTTATGTACCTGCTTGTTCTTTAAATATTGAAACTTGCTGGTTGTTGAACTATAAGACGTACTAATTGCTATTATAGCAATAGACATAGTGAAAAATATATCTATAAATTTTTCGATCTTTAACAATATGTTAAAACAATATACAATGAAAGATATTTTAAACGAAATCAGAACGATCATGTTCGTCAAAACATGGATTGTGAATTTCACTTCGATGAACATATTTATTATTTACTTCGATGCATCTTCTTTTAATAATTACATAATCATTCACTCTAGGAATGTTTTTCTTTTTTTATTTAGGTGAAATACATTGTAAATCTTTTCATCATGTACTAAAAATCTTCTATGTAGTTATCTCTAAATGATATAGCACCAGTCCTACTACAATGATATATTATCATTGGTTGTTATAAGATTCGTTATATAGAAAAACGAGAATTTATTATTGTACTTCCTTTTTTGTTTACGATGTGTCATATAACCTTGATATGATAAGAGAGATATCGTAGGATATTAGGAAACACTGTTCTGTCTAACAAATATCATAAACATGTGTTGATTTTTGGATGACAAAAAGAGGCAGTTTTTTGAACACAAAAGCATTGATCTGAAGTTAGTGATTTGTATATAAATCAATACAAATGAGTATGCATGAAACTTTCTTACCACTCAAATAATATCGTTGCATCATTTTATTCAAGTTTTCAAAGAGAAGACTTAAAGTCTTCCCTGATTTCAATAGGATAAGGATCATTAAAATAATAACTGTACTTCTTTTATGGCTAGAATATATGCCTTGACATTGATTACTTTCATTCTCTTTAATATGACAATGTGCAGTGAGAGTTAAGTCATTACTATCTAAAGGATTAGTCAAGGATATGCGACAAGATTAAAACAAGACTATATTTTATCTACTTATATTAACTTGTTTTTGTTTTTCATTGAAAAACAATGAACAAACAGTCAGTACACAGATAGAGCAAGCAAAGTATAGACTAGAAGAATATCATCGAATAAAAATTATTATTCTTCTAATTACACCTAAATCTGTCGAAGATAATGTTTTCAATATCAATAAATGAATATGCACCCACTAGTGTGTATCTTCATACAATGCCAACGCTAAATGGCAGACAACACTTATTAGTCTATAACTACTTACGTACAAATTATCGATTCGACTACAGAATGTACATTCATTTAAGCACTTAAAATGAAATTCATTTTCACAAGATCATATTTTTCAGGGCATTTACTTTAGATACATATGCAGTTTAAGCACATCATCACATAATATTAACGTATTTTGCACAACAATCATAGTATGAATGAGGATGTGCTGAAACTACACACATACCGATTTCATCAAAGTTTGCCAAAAAAAAAATACGATATCAAAATTAATGTTGCATAAATTAGAAGAATTTTAAACTATTTTCTCAAACGATTTGGCAACATTTTTTTGTGTTTGTATCGCACAATTTTTATTACCATATGAAACTGGAAGATTAGATGAAGAATTAGCTAAGTTTCATCATAATAATCATTCAATTATTGTAAATGATGAAGCACAAGAATCAGAAAATGTAAATTCATTTATCTCAACGTCTTATTAAACAATAGATACTATAATTAACTTAAATTTAATTAAACATAGCTAAATTTTTGTTTGAAAGTTTTTTTTTTTTATTGCAAGAGTAACTGAATATTT